CTGAGTAGGCCCAGTTCTCAGTACCCGTACTCACATCGAGTACCCGCAGCAGGTACTCATGAATCGAAACCCGACCCTAAATTAGGGACGGTTTTTCAGAAACCGTCCCTATTTTTAGAGTCGGTTTCGAAACCCGACCCTAAAGGGAATCCGACCCTAAAGGGAATCCAACCCTAAATCCCACCCTAAATCCGACCCTATTTTAGGGTCGGTTTCATGCATGATTGAGGAACGCTCCTGCTATCTCGCAGGCTGAGGTATGGACGTCTCCACCCGTAATCATTCAAGTAGCTGGCTCTCTCAATCTTATTCCAACACTCGGTCACAATACTCGCAACTGATCGGAGCTCAACACTGCTATTGTGCACTGGCTCCCAAAGGAATTCTCTACCAATACTGCTGAGTTTCGCACTAAAACGCTTGCACTAAAACGCTTGTACCATATTTTGTCAACCCTTGTCGTGCTTCTGGCTTTGTTGTACGACTCAGGGGTTTCGGGAAATCAAAAGGTATTGCTGCCTTCAACCAGAAATTAAAATGTATTGATGCCTTCAACCAGCATGCAGAAGCACGTCCGATTTCCTGTGCAATTGTACAGGAGGTTGGATCCTGTACAATTGCACAGGAATCACGACCTCCTGTACAATTGCACAGGAATCACGTCGATCCTGTACAATTGCACAGGAATCACGTCGCCTATACAATTGCACAGGAATCGCGTCTTTTGCCAGGCCAAAATTTGACTGCAGGCTGGCTCTCTAAAAGTCCTGTTCATATGCACAGGCTGTATGTAGTGCTCTCTACCCCCTGTCAAAGCTAACTTAATAACTGTATTTAAATTTTTAAATTTCGGCTCGCCGCCCGTAAAAAAGGATGCTCGACTGCATGGCGGCATGTCGATGACCACGAGAGGCACGGTTGGATGGTCGGGTGATCTTTGGAAAACGATTTAGGACCAGCACAGTCGTAGATCTAGTAGCTGCTTGTAGTCATTAGTATCAAGCTACTAGCTAGTAGAGTCTAAGTCTACCTGAGTGTTTGTGGACAGAGGGCCTCCAACCTCCAACACTCCAAGCTCCCCTTCTTCTTGCATGGTGTGCCAAGGGATGTATGGAAGTGGTCTAATTTGCAGTAATTACCCGCAAAACACTGCAATTACTGTGCAGTACTGAACATTACTGCTGGATATCAAAAGGGGAGTTAGAAACCATGGTGAGACAGGACGTACTGGTTGATACAGTAGACCCCGTGCAGGTGAGGATTTGTATTCATAACTACTTTGAGACCTCCTCTACAGCTGAAACGGGACGCTTCATTGTGAGATGGCTGTAGGTAGTCTTAATCATTTTGTGCTGCTGTGTCCTGGTTCTCGTAGAGCCTCTGCCTGGGATTGGGATCCCGTGTCAGGCAAGCTTTATGGAACCGGCAAGCACCGTTAACACACTTGCCTGGTGCAAGCAAGGTACCGTAAGGAACTCAAGCACTACACTGCCTGATAAAAGGTTTGGCTCACCCGTAAAAAGGGAGTGATGCTGGACTGCTGGATGACTGCATGCATGTGATTGATGACAGCTCTTTGTATTGACATTGTAGAAGCCGGGAATACCGGTACAGTCCAGGACGGGAATACTGTAGATCGTACCAGTAGCCTCGTACTCGTTGTTTCTATGCCAGGATGCTCGACTTCGGCTTGGAGTTCCGCCGCGCTGGGGCAAAATGAGTTCGATTGTCTATATGGAATAAGGGTAAAATGTTACTCCCATAACGTTACGCGTCACATAGGGTATCATCCCATAATGCCACCCCCCGGTCCTTATATCCCCTAGTCTTGGGATGTCGTTCTTGCACACAAGAAGCGTAAATATGCTGGGAAAACGCACGATTCACAGAGGAAAAATCGGCGCGTTGAGTAACGCCCCGAGCAACATTCGAACACTTGAAATGATACGTTTTGGTACTCTCAAGTTGGTACTCGGAAGCCGGAATGTTACTTCTCTAATTCTTTTAATTTGGTACTTAGGCTTGAAAGAGGGCCAACGCTGGATCTTCGCGCCTGGAAATCCAAAAATTCGAGGCTACTCCACTCACTCCACCACACAACTCAAGGAAAAGCAAAGACGAAAAGGCGAAACTTCGAACTGTTGACTATTGACAACCAAAAACATCGACAATGCCAGGACTTTACGGCAGCCGTACACCTCCCCGTGGTGGCGCTATTGAAGATGACGAAGCCGAAGATTGGCACTTCCCTCAGAATGGCAAGCACTTGCCCTACCTGCTCCATTTCATGTCATTTGTGGAAGGACGACTTGATGACCCTCTCACTCCTGACACCACCTTCACGAAGGAACAGATGATGAGCATTCGTCCATCTCAAGTCCGCCAGTGGTTGAACTTCAGAGCCTACGGCGATCATTTCCCCAAAGCCGATGACCCTGTGACTGGATGTCGGTGGGCCTCCTTGAAGAAAGCCAAGCAGGCCGTGAGCTTCTACATGCCGAACAAGAATCTTCCTTGGATGGACGGACGCGGTGGTAATCCTTGCCGACACATCAGTCTCATCGATTTGATCAAGAAGGCTGAACGCAAGGAGACTCGCGAAGAAGGCAGGGCAGCCAATGACAAGCGTCCATACACCAAGGCTGAGTTCGACAAACTGTTGCAGGTTCTCCGTTGGGCCCCTCCACCCAACAACAACATCACTCACCGCTTGAAGTTGCCGTTCATGACTCTTTGGGCCTACCATCTCATCCACCGCTTGGATGACACCTGTCATTTTAAGGTGGATTCCCCTCATGGATCCGTGGAGTTCCCCTTCGCTCTCATGACTCGCACGAAATGGTCTAAGAACGTCCGAAACATGGGTCAGTGTCCTGACCAGATCATCTTCGCCTCTGGTGATTGGAAGAACTGCTGCCAGCTGTGGCTTGCCGTGTACTTGGAGAAGTGGTTGAATCTTCACCCTCACGTTAACTTCCTTTTCACAGCAAACGCTCATCGTGAACAGGGCCCATCCAACTTGAACCAGCAGTACAAGAATCGTGTTGCTGCTCTTGTCTGGAGTCGGGCTGACTTCCGTGCTTTGGAAGATCAAGTTGGAGCGCAGCAAGACAGGAGGGGCATTGGCTCTCATTCCCTCCGGAAGTATGCCGCTACTCGTGCCACCAGGAAGGGATGTTCCATCAGCCAAGCTGAATTTCGTGGACGCTGGATTGGCGAACGTGGATCAGTGGTCGGTCGCCGCTATGTCCACACAAACGATGCCTACACTGATGCCTATGTCGCATCGTGTCTATGTGAAGGTGGAGCGGTAAAGTACCAGTTGCGAACTGGTGTTGTTGTTACTGACAATTATTTATTTACTGTCATTGTCCCCAACATCAGGGAACGCTTCCCCAATGACTTGCGCTTCTGTCGAGTGGCCGCAATGGCCCTTCTTTGGTCATTCTTCGACGATGGTGGTGCTGCGAGGATGCATGATGTGGCTGTTGTCCAGGTGCAGAGGGCGCCGTTCCGTCAGGCCCACAACTACACGTCCAATGAGAACCCTGTCAAGAAGACTTGATTGGAGATTGCCAACGTGGACGGCAGTCTTCGAATTTTTGACCAAGGTACCCAGCCAGCCAACAACAACAATGGCAACAACAATGGCAACAACAACAATGGCAACAACAACAACAACAATGGACGCCGCCAGCCACAGGGAGTGCAGAGTCAGCACAACATCACCATGTCGTTTCTACAGCAGATGGAGCGCAACGTGAACGACCGATTCAACCAAATTCAAGCGAACCAAGAGGCCTTCAAGGTGTGGAGCACTTCGCAGTTCGTTCGCTTGAACAACAATCAGCGTCGCTTTGGTGGTACCATCCAGCAGGCCATGGTCCGCGGAGATCCGGAGGAACAAGCAAGTCGCCGACAGCATGAGGCCGCAGCAGGTGCCGCCGCAGCTGCTGCCGCAGGCAATGCTGGACAGCTGGCTACGAACATCAATCCAGATGCACGTCTTATCAACAATCCACGCACATTGAGCGAATTGTGGGATGAGTTCCAGTTTGGCATCGGCAGCAACAGGCCTGCCAAGAGCTTCACTACACCTGAACGCAACAACAGGATGTCTGGCATCAAGCAGAAGTACTACAGGAGATCCAAGGTGTGGAAGATTCAGGCATACCTTTTCAACGCTGGGCACTCCATCCATGCCATCAACGCGAAGATTCAGCAGGTGTACCAGTCTGACAGGCCGACAACCATCATTGATCAGATCATCGTGGATGGAAGGGCCAACCGTGGCTTTGCCATGGTGCCAGCTGTCAGCTTTCGCCTCAACAACCAGTTGCGTGCTGACGCATTTTAGGAGATGTTCGCCACTTACGTATTTGGCGACCATGTCGCTTTTCGGCCGTCTTGGCATCTTTGTTCTTCGAAAGCCCTTTGGGCCTACCTTTAGCTTTAAGAAATAGTGAAACCAGTGTACATGATTCACCGCGTGTGTAGACTTGTACTGACTTAGCCGTATGTACATACATGTACCATGTCCTACGGTATCACTCACAGTGACTATAGGATACCTTTCCCACTGGAAGATTTTCGGTATCCACGATTGGGTGTGAGATGCTGTTTCGGCAACCAGCGCCTGCTCGACTCGACTCGGACTGTCATTTCGAGGGCAAAGCGCTCGAGATGGGAATATTCAGGACTGTGCCTTCTGATGAAGCACGAACACATCTACTTGGGGACACCACTTGCCTGCGTTGCAACTGGGAGTGGGGCATGGCTACTATTCGATTATGCTTTTAAATAAAAGCTACTGCCAATGTAAAAAAAAACTGAACGTCTAATAACGGATTCAGACGAGATGTGCTTGAGGACTACCCACGAGCTGAGGCTCGGGTATTTCCCACAGTCAAGTCTGCTCACCGGCTACTGCCAATGTAGTATGTAGATATGTAAATTCATTCTGGGCTGTTGCATTTCCATTTCTTCGTCGCTGGACAAAGCTAGTATGCACCGGCAAAGCCAACGTCGTTTGTGGCAAGAACGTCAAAGATGCACCGTTCGTAGCTCTCCTCCCCGACACGAGCACAGGCAATCTCAGCATCCTCGCGGGTAACGGCAGAGGCTCCCAAACGACGCTTTTTGGTGGCGGCCCTTTCATCCTCATCAGGCATTTCACAGGTTTCAGGGTGCTGAGCCCCATTGATATTGTGGAACAGCATAGGCTCGGTAGACTGGACCTGCCACTCTTTGCCGAATGCATTTGGATCTTCCTCCATAAGTGTCAGCCATCATGGCGCCTCCGTTGACAAAGGAACCCATCAAGCCCTCTGCGTCAACAAAATGTTCCGCTTTCTGCGCCTTGACATTGACTGCCACCCAATGTTTGATAGTCTCAATACTAATTGCGTCTCGATCCTTGATGATTGAGGTTCAGACGGAATCTGTGCTGCTTGGCGGTAATGTGGTGTAAAAAACTTGAAAGCCAGCAAAGGAAGCTTCCAATTCGGATTGAAGGGTCACCAAGTTGGGGTCCTTCTGCGCATCCACCTTGTCGCCGGGCAATCCGTTCACCCAGTAATTGGGACCTTCTCCCTCGGGACCACCCATTACCTCGATCATTTGGTCGCCAATCTGAACCACAACAGCCTCAATGTAAGACCACCAAGTCTCAATCTTGGTTCGAATGTGGATCGTGAGACCAATGCCATTTCCGAAGCTTGGGTTTCTCATCAAGACAATGTCGCAACCTCCATGGAACTGCAGTAGTAATGAGAGAAAGACAAGCGTTGGTTAGTACTAGTATAGAGTAACAGGGGAATAGCAAGTGGCACCATTGGTGAGTCTCACATCGAATTTGTGTCCCCCAAAGGTGGTAAAATGAGGGTCGCCGCTTCCGTGGGCGTGTGCTGGCTTGTTGGGAGCCAGTGTCACTGGCGGATCAGTGGGCGAAGCTGTGGGCGAAGCTGTGGAAGGAGAGGAGGAGGGAGCCTCGCTGGGGGTTACCAATGGATCGTCGGGACCACAAAGGACCAAATGATTGCCGGAGAGGGTTTGGATGTATTCCAGAGAGCCGTCAGCGCGGTATCGAATATACTTTGCGGCGCCGCTCTGTCCTGGAACCCCCGCCGCGAGCATGTAAATCGTGTTCTTGGCAAGGCCAGGGTATAGAATTTGCATTCTAGCAAAGTTGGAATTATAGAGAGCCCAGGCATTGGTTCCTGTTCCAAGGAATGTGGCCTGCGTTCCATAGTCTGATTCGCAGATATCATTCCAGTTCTCAGTGGTCCCTCTGGTTTCAGAGGAGATCCCATAACTGTGTGGTTGGCCATAGGGTGCTCCAGTAGTGCTTCGAACAAAAATCCATCATTGTTCTAATGATTTAGGCTTGGGGGTTCCCTGCATGATCCTGCTCCTGGATAGATGCATTGTTCTCCGGCAAGGTACTGACAGCTGCAATGTTCGTCCCCTTGGATCTGATGAGCGGTCTCCCGTTCAATTTTGACCCGTTCCATTTCGAGTTCACGGCGGCGTTTCTTGTCAATGTCTCCCATCTGCAGGCGATGTAACTCCTTCATGTTCTCCTCGTGGCGACGCTGTTCCTCCTTGAATTCCTGGTTGCGCTTGCCAAAGAAAAGCTTGAAGGCATCGCATCGACTTCATGTTCTTTCTTCCTTGCAAGGGCTCTCACAACAGGGGATGTGACTCCGTGGACTGCTCCCTGTGGCAAGGTAAGAAAGACAAGTACGTACTGCACTGGTTGAGAAAAAGTAAGTATTTGCGTACTTCATGGAGACGAGGAGCCAACCTAAAATGCCAATCTAGAATAGAGAAAAAAGACCTATGCTACACCATTTGCAATGGCCCATTCAACAATTTCATCATGACCACTGAAAGCAGCTGCTTTTCGTGTTCTTCTATCCCATGGGCATCCATTTGCTCTGGCCCATTTCAATAATTCAAAATGGCCTGCTCGGGCAGCCGATGCGCAAGTCTGTACATCCCAAGGGCATCCATGAGCTCTGGCCCATTTCAATATTTCGAGATGGCCTGCTCCAGCAGCTTCTTCACAAGTCTGTGCATTCCAAGGGCATCCATTCTCATGTGCCCATTTCAATATTTCAAATTTACCATGTTCAGCAGCCTCTGTGCAAGTCTGTTCATCCCAAGGGTATCCATTCTCATGTGCCCATTTAAGCATTTCCAAATGACCTCCTCGAACCACAATAACACATGTGTCAGCATCCCAAGGGCATCCAATCTCATGTGCCCATTTCAATACTTCAAAGTTGCCACCCATGGCAGCAAAAGAAGTTATTCCTTCATTCCAGGAGCATCCATTCTCATGAGCCCATTTCAGGATTTCCAATTGGCCATTTGCAGAAGCAATCAAACCAATTCTGAAATCCCAGGGGCATCCATGCTCAAGAGTCCATTTCAGGATTTCCAAGTGGCCATATGTGGCAGCAGCCAGACATGTCTCGTTACTCCAGGGGCATCCATTCTCATGAGCCCATTTCAGAGTTTCAAGATGATTATTGCCAGCTGCTGCTTCACATGTCCCTCCACTCCAGGGGCATCCATTCTCATGAGCCCATTTCAGAGTTTCAAGATGACCATTGCCAGCTGCTGCCTCACATGTGAAAGAGTCCCATGGAAAATTCTTGGTTCTAGCCCACTGGAGAGCTGGACGACTTCCAACACTGGCAATGACGCTGCAAACTCTTTCTTGGCTAGGACTCTTGCTGCTGGAACTGTCAGCATACCAGTATTCAGCACAGGCCACATTGCAGAATGCAGCACCGTGGAATGTGTCAGTGCTGGATGCAGATATCTGATCCTTGCCATCCTTCACCAAAGGTGGCTTCTGTACAGTCGCACAGAAATCTTTGTAGAGTTGATTGAGTTTCTTATTGACAGGCCCAGTAAAAGCATACTGCCCCATGCCAAGAAAGGGGAGGATCTTTCCAACCCAAATCTCCTCTTGATCCAACAAGAGCGGGGTGGAAGAGGACATGCTGCCAACTGGTCCGGAAGGAAGAGATGAAGGCACGTTGGAATGGCTAGAGCTTGTTGTTGCTGACTTGACTCAGATTTTGAATAGGTACCGAGATGCTTTGCTACTTTAAATGAGCAAATCGAGCCGAATCGTCGTGGTAGTGGATGTGCGAGGGAGATACTGTACCTCGGAACGTCACGAACAAAGTAAAGGCAGCGATCGATGTAGACTCCACACGCCACGCTGCCAACTCTTTTGTGGCGTGGACGGCAACGGAGTATTCAGCGTGGCCGTGGTCGAGTCCAAAAGCACGTAGGCGGCACGTTATTACTTGAGTAGTAAAAAGGAAGACATGGGTAATGGCAGGCTCTACTATATATAGAGAGCGTGGGTATAGCTACTGCAGCTCTTCCTTCGTTACCGAACAGCAGCCAGCGTGGAAATGGATGGCGTGGAAATCATTGTTGGCAAAGGCCACCGTGTTGCAATAGTCGTGTATGCATAGTCTTACTATACTAGTAGTAGATGACAGAACTACAGGTACATGTAAATGTACATGTACGGTAGACACGGCACTGTACCGGTAGGAGTCGTGTGACCACTACACCTGGAAATGGCAGCGTGGAACGTGATGTCGATCACGATGCTTGACACAACTCGGGTTGGAACGCATCCATGCATGCATGCATGAACACGATGCACAGCCGAATTCCTCCGTTTTCTGGTGGTAACCGAAACCTTGTCAAGCAGGCGCGTGGTTTTACTGAGTGCTGGGTGTTTGAAAGAATGCGTCGTCTCGAGCCATGGGGTGTACTAGTACGTTATTTCTCGAAGATTGATTCAATGATGCACCGCCTCGAATCGAATCGAGAATCTATCCCTCACCTCGCCTCACCCAAAACAAATCTTCTCTGTATCGAGCTACAACTCTACTAAAAAAAAACTATAAATAAATTAGTTGTCACTCACGTACGGTACCGATACGGTTTCCTCTAGATAGATAGCTACGAGTATCTTGCATACCGTATTCTACACGACAACCGACGGCTTGATTTTGGTCCAAGGATCGAGGGGTAGCATAGCATTTGTGGGAAGCAAATGGATTTCTTTATCTATTGGATTGCTGTAGCCTTTTTTTCGTTTGATTGTGTTGTATGTTGTGATAGTTGCATTACAATAATAATGTGTGTGGTTCATCGGATCCATCATCACAATCTTTAATCCCATCATGGACTCGTGACGCAAACAATAGTTTCTTGCCATCTTTGCATCGAAAGGATTCTTTCTGCACTTTTCGATGCGCACACGCGGACGTGCCCGGTTCATCACTTCCATCGTCGCAATCGCAGTAATCGTCGTTGATAATCCCCCGTCGTCCATCGGGACACGTCATGGTCTGTGTGACCAAATGCTTGGTCGAAGCTGGATGTGGCATTTTTTGAAACAATCGTTCGCCCATTTGTTCGGTTCGAAAAATCTTTCCGGGTTGTCGATTCTGAATATGAATGGCAGCGGTTTTGGCCTTTTGTTGTAATTTTTGAACATGTTTCTTGACGTGCCGTCGTAATTCGGGACTCTGATGATGGAGAATGCCAAAAACGGCAAAGAACATGAAGAGAAAGGAAATGCAAAATAGACAGAGTCCACCACAAAAGGAATATCCTCTCTTTTTAGAAGAAGAAGAACCTCCTCGTTTCCGCTTGCGACGAACCAGCGGGGTAGCATGACCCGGTACATGGCCCATGGGACTACTACTAGTACTACCAGTAGCACTACTAGCAGCTGGGGATTGATGAAGGGGTAGCACCGTGTTGCCAGGAGCATTCAGGGGGACATGGCGTTTTCTCATTCTTTCTTGTTTTAATTGAAGATAATATTGTTGGTTAGAGACTACTAGCTAGTATCTGGTGGCTTAACTTAGTCTGGCTATAGCTAGTTCAGGCTTTCAGATGGACTTGGTTTTTGAGTTGTGAGAAATGAGAAAGATAGAAGCGGGGTATCCAAGCGGCAGTCATTGGAGTGAGACTGAGCTTCCGCTTGCTGACCATTGGCATTCTAGCTAGTTAGCGTTAAGGTTCAGAATTAGCCCTGGATCCAAAAGGGTTCCCATCCACCATCGGCCATTCATTCTCTGTCCACAACAATAAGAGTTGACCATGACGAGCCTTGCCTCTGTAGTTGCTCGACGGCAGCTTCTCCTCAGGAGACTGTCTACTAGCACTACTAGATCTACTACTGCTAGGAGTATCTATCCTGCCAGTAGTCATGTCTTGACTGCATTATCTACTCCTGCTACCCCAACCAGCTTAGTCTCGGTATACCCTGCTACCGTTAGTAGTAATAGCTGTCGCTACTATTCGGTGACAACGGCGGTCCAAGGCGACTACCCCGAACACACGTTGTTTCCCATGCCGGCCTTGAGTCCCACTATGGAATCGGGTACCATTTCCAGTTGGGCGTTGGAAGAAGGACAAGAATTTTCAGCCGGCGATGTCTTGTGTTCCATTGAAACCGATAAAGCCAGTGTCGATTTTGAAGCACAAGATGACGGCATTCTCGCCAAAATTCTAATTCAAGCAGCGGAAGATGTTCCTATTGGAACTCCCATTTGTGTCGTTGTCGAAGAAGCTAGTGATGTGGCGGCTTTTGCCGGTTTTGTAGCACCAGCAGAGGAACCTAGTACTACTAGTAGTGCTAGTAGTACTGCCAGTGCAACCACAGAAGCTCCCACACCAACGGCTACAACACCAGCAGCACCTAGTGGTCAAGCCTCGCTCTTGTTCCCATCAGCTCGACACTTAAGTGAATCCAAGGGATTGGATGCTACTGTGTTGGAGGGATCTGGAAAGGGTGGCAGAGTCACCAAGGGAGATGTTCTCAAGGCCATTGCAGATGGTGTTGCCATGCCAGCCTTGGCTACCAAAGCAGCAACTACCGCACCAACTACTCCCACACCCGCAACTCCCGCAGCAGCAGCACCAGTTCCATCCACTACTACGGGAGGACAACATGTGGAATATCCCGTGGAAGAAGTCGTTTCCTTTGGTTCTTACGAAGATGTGCCCAATTCCAAAATGAGAAAAACCATTGCATCCCGTCTCACACAATCCAAACGAGAAGTACCACATTTCTATACATCCATTGATGTTCAATTGGATAATGTCATGAAATTACGAAAACAACTCGTCAATGATCACGAAGTCAAAGTATCCGTCAATGACTTGATTATTCGCTGTTGTGCATTGGCACTTCGGGATGTCCCCGAAGTCAATGCATCCTACGATTCAGCGTCGAATTCCATCAAGACACAATCCAGTATTGATGTCAGTGTGGCCGTGGCAACACCTACTGGTCTCATTACTCCCATTGTCCCCAATACGGACAAACTGGGATTGTCCGGCATTACCAATAAGGTACGAGATTTGGCCACACGGGCACGAGATGGAAAGCTGGCACCCCAAGAATATCAAGGCGGCACGTTTTGTGTCTCCAATTTGGGCATGTTTGGCATTAACGAATTCAGTGCCGTCATTAATCCACCCCAAGCCGCTATTTTAGCGGTCGGAGGTGGCACGCGATTGCCCATGGCCACGCCGTATGTGGATGGTGCTGACGAACAAGCCAAACCGTCCATCAAGACGGTCATGACGGCACGACTCTCGGCCGATCGACGAGTGGTGGATGAACCCACGGCGGCACTCTTTTTGCAAACATTTCGTCAGTACATTCAGCAACCAGAACTTTGTATGCTTTGATTTTGTCTAATTTTAAAAAGAAGGAAGGAATGCTTTGGATGGTGGCGGCGTTGGATTTTTGCAAGAGCCAACAGTTTTAAAACAACACAACACTCAGCGTAGACGGACGAGTTGGTAGTGTAATAGATTAGTAACACATGGCGATATTTTCTTTGTACGTCTTTGGCTTGAATTGCCATGCGGTGCTTTCTTGGCAGCAACGCCGGGACCTATCACGAGATGGCAATCGGGGACTAGCCTAGCATGTACCGGTACGGTACCGGGTAGGATGGCCTAACAAAATTTTATACCGTACCGGTACTAGCTAGTAGACTAAACCGACCATCATCAAATAATCAGCCAATGAACCATGCAGCAATCGTACAATACTCCGGTGGGAGGAAAGGGAAAACTCGTTGGTGAAATCGTTACGCAAGGATTGATACAGTCCGAAAACGGGAACGATGGAACAGATACCAGTACACGTTCCACAGAGTAGTGGCAACTGATACCGGTACCGGTATGGTAGCGAAGAATCGAGGCGCGATAGCGATGCATCCTATCAAGCTACGAGTAGGACGAAGCCTCAGCCAGTGCATTTGCATTGTGGCTGCCATGGATGCCCGCCCCTGCAAAGCAAATGCGCCGCCGATACAGAAGGCCCGAGCGTCTCGAGAGGAGGGAGGTACGAAATCTCGCGAGATGCCACCAACAAGTACCGGAAGCAAGCAATGTCGCGCACCAATACGGTACTGTTTTCAAAAGGTTGATGAGGGATCAACAGGGGCAGAGCCACAACTCTATGGCACATCTCCTTTCTAAAAATAAAAACATACACAATTGCTCCGCGCTCCGAAATTAGAACAATCCGCAATCATAATACAGTGACGGTATCAGCAAAAGCTTTGGTTTCAAAAGGACAAGGTTTCATGTTGCGATTTTGGTTTCGTAATGGCATCTTGAGCGAGGGATGGCTGTGTTCAATAGTTTTAGAAGATGTTTCCACAAGTGGGACCGCACCGATTTGTTGGCTCATATCCCAATTCGCCACATTTATTTTTGTTGGCCAATCGATCCATCAGCTCCAACCGACCCAAAACCCATCGAACACGAACTTGAGCGACAACAACATACAGTAGGATGGTGTCGACCAGAGCAAGAAAAAGAACAACACCAGGGATTCCAACGTGGTCCCCCACCGTAGTACTAACCTGGCCCGACGATGCTTAACTTCGCTGAGCAGACGGGAAGCGGTGCTGTCATCGTGGTATGGTCGTTCCTGCATATGGAATATCTCCATTTTGCTGTGAATGGCTTGTCTTGGAAGAAAGATCCTTCATTCGATCCTTGAGGAAGAGCACGATGTGGCATTATTACATGATGATTCCAAGACGATTTCCTCTCTTGCTGACCTTCTTGTTGTCCCTGGCTGGACTGTCACCTCAAACTTTTGCGTGGCTTCCTCAACAGCATGGCAGTAGTACTAGTAGTACATGTAGAACTCGTCTGTGGCAGTCCAATAATAATAATAAGAACCCATTCGATGAGTTTCGAGACCAACTCACCAACCAAGTGATCCGCCGCGTGTTGGATGGACTGAAAGAATCGTCTTTGATTGCAGAAAAGCATCGAGAACATGTCGAATCTCCCTCCGTGACGCATCTCTTCAAGGGCACGTCGTTGGCATCCCTGGACGACAACTACAAGCTCGAGTTTGTCAATTCCCTGGCCGGAAAGGCACTCGAGACGCTCATGAAAGAGGAGCAAGACTATCTCGGCGAATGGAAGATTCAAAAAATTGTGCAAGCCGCCGGAGACTATGACCAAAGCGACGTGTTGGCTGAGATCCAAACCGCATTGTCTTCCCAATATCCCATTGTCATGTACTCCTTTGTCGATTGTCCCTGGTGTGTCGCCGCCAAGAAACTATTACATCTCACTGGGCCCCATATCCCAGCTCGAATGGCTTCTGGCCGGCCGGGGACGCTCGCGCCGCCGATATACCGAGCCGAATTGGCCCAGAAAACGGGACGAACCAGCATGCCGTGCATATTCGTTCGAGGCGTCCCCATTGGAGGCTATTCCGACGGAGACCCCTGTGGAGTGGGGCTTCGGCAATGCATGGAGTCCGGGGAACTCGGTAAAATGATAGCTCAAAACCAATCATAGATTGATCGCCCATCACCTCCATGGTTGGGAACTGTGTATTACACAAATGGCCAAGGACCAAGCTAGCCAGCTGTGCAGTGAAAGTAAAGATTTGGTCTGGGAGTATGCGAAGCACTCAAAACCTGTTGAAGGAAGCCTTGGATGGCTGCGCGAATTTAAGAAACACGACCGTGCATGCACGGCAGCTCCCAAGGGCATTGAAGTGAACTTGCTGCATTGCATCGGTACTTTGTACGATTGGGAGAGAGATCGATGTATGGACGGTCGACGGTCGCCCTTTGAAACAGCACAAAGCTCGACCAGATCGGAGACCGCCCCTTCTATATAGCTGGCGCTGGTAGTATTTGAACGATTATACGTTCTTTGGCTGCTTTAATAATGTAATTCTCGCAAAAATGGCCTGTTCAGGCAGGCAATGATATCCGCTTTTCATTAAAAAGGTTCACAATGCTGATCAAATTAAAAATTCCGACATCTACATTGAAAGCATGAACATTCCACAGGAAAAGGACGTGGACTGCAATCAACTTGGATTTGTTCCAACCCTGCATTGGAACATAGACTGTTTGGTAGACTTCCAAATAATTGGTTTTCGTACAAAGACAATGAGGCCACATTCGTTAGCAACCCCAGCTCTGATGGGATGGTCCCAGACAAACGGTTTTCATAGATCCGCAATGAGGTCAAACTTGTCATCAACCCCAGTTCTGAGGGAATTTCACCCGACAATTGGTTGTCGTAAAGCCACAGCAAGGCAACAGCTTCCAGCAACCCAAACTCAGATGGAATGCGACCAGAAAAACGATTGCTGTACAAAGTCAATGATGTCACACCTGTAAGCAACCCTAACTCAGTGGGGATATTACCAAGCAAGATGTTGTCACGCATGTTCAACACAGTTAATGCCTTCAACAAACCCAGTGATGACGGAATTTCACTTGACAATTCGTTGTTTTCAAAGGACACGGCAGTCAAGCTTGTCAGCTGTCCCAATTCCGATGGGACTCCACCAGTCAATTTGTTCTTTGGCAAGCTCAGGCAGGGTGACTTCAGAAGCACGATAGTGCATCCACGGCGGGTCGGGATCCTACGGTATCGGACGTTTCTCTTATGAACGGGGCATACACTGGTGCCATGTGTGGACAAGGGCGTAGATACTTCTAGTAGTAGACTTACCGGTACGTTTTTTGAAGTATGGGATTGTGTGGACTACAGACAAAGACATTTAGAACTAATACATGAACACTCCACAGGAAATTTCTCCGTGTCACAGTCAACAATAATTTCTACTAAACCCAAGTTGGAACAGGAACTGCTCGGGACACTGCCAGAGAATTGGTTGTCATACAAATACAAACCTGTCAGCTTTGTCAGCAATCCCAGCTCGGATGGAATTGTACCTGACAGGTTGTTGCGGGACAAACTCAAGAAGGATAATTTCGTCATCAACCCAATTTCAGTTGGGAGGCCACTGGATAGTTGGTTACTTGCGAGGACCAAGGAAGTCATGCTTGTTAGCAAACCAATTTCCGATGGGAGACTGCCAGATAGTTGGTTTTCATTGAGATCCATTGAAGTCATGCGTGTCAGCAAACCAATTTCCGATGGGAGGCTGCCAGATAGTTGGTTTTCATTGAGATCCATTGAAGTCATGCTTGTCAGCAAACCAATGTCCGATGGGAGGCTGCCAGATAGTTGGTTTTCATCAAGAGCCAAGATCTCCACATTGGACAGCATGCCAATTTCCGTAAGAATGCTGCCAGATAGTTGGTTTTCATCGAGATACAAGAACTTCACACTGGACAGCATGCCAATTTCAGTAGGAAGGCTGCCAGATAGTTGGTTTTCATAAAGCCCCAAGGAGGTCATGGATGTCAGTAAGCCAATCTCCGATGGGACCGTACCGGATAATTGGGTTTGAGAGATGATGAACTCCACTAAAGCTGTCATCCAACCAATTTCCAAAGGGAGATGGCCTGATAACTGGTTGTTGGACAGGTCCAATACTTGGAGATTGGTCCAGTCAAATAGCTCTGGAGGCAGGCTTCCCACAAGCCGGCAGTTAATGCAACCAAAAGCTAGTTCCAGGGACTGGAAAGGCTTTGACTCACGGATTTTTGGAAGCAGATCAGTCAGGTTCCTGTCCATAAGGTTATCAGACAAGTCCAATTTTTGCAAGCTTCCAAGTAATGATAGCTCCAATGGAACCGATCCGTTCAAACCTCTTTGTTCCCTCACTTTGATTTCTGTCGCACGGTCACCAGGCGAACAATACACACTATTGACTGACGGGCCTCTGTGGAAGACACCCCACCCACATTCGTTGGTTTCGTAGCTAAGCCACTCATTTTTTGCTTGCGGATCCAGGGACCTCCACTTCATACCATTGAAGGCATAGAAGAAGGTGGCCAGAGCAAATCTCTGTTCCTTTTGCCAGTTTTCATAGGTTGCTAGGTTGGGATCAAGAGTCAGCCAGGTGTAGGCTTTGAATTGTGGTGATTCTTGATCCGTAGCAATGGATTCCCAGGTGGAATCAGGTGCATTGGGAAGTAGCACCTTATCGATACTGGTTTCTTGGTTGTTCTCCTTTTTTTGGGATTCTCCATTTTCCCCTCCAACAGCCAGTGGAATAGCAATTGCCAGAATGACAACTACCACCAGTACTGCAATTGCTGCCCCCATCACCACGGGATTTCTTTTCTTCTCCTCCAAAGTCTCAGTAGTATTGACTTCTGCCTCTTCTATTTGTCCTGGTGGTGTCTCTTGCATTGGCTGAGAAGATGGTCCCAGCACATCCAATCTCACTGGTTCCACGGCCTCATAGTTGGCACCTGGTGCTCCTGAATAAGCACCAGGAGTAACAGATCCTGGTGGTAGGCTGTGCTTGGTCATAGGACGCCCAGTTTGGTGGTCATATGCAATGCCTGCAGCTAGATTTGATGCAGGATTAACTGCAACAGTGTCTTCACTGTTCTCGTGCAATGGATGCTGCCGACTGTCCTCAGGATCAACACCTACAGTTGTCCCACTACTGGTACTAGCCACCGGAGGGACCGGGACCATCATGGCTTCTGAACCTTTTGCTTGTTGATTTCTTGTTGGCAGAAACTGCAGCGTACCTTCCGGCCTGTGCTCCAGTCTAGCTTGTTGATATAGAAGAATCTCCTTCATTTCTGCTGGTGTCCGAGTGGCGGCGTTATTCCGCTGCCGAAGTACACTTCCAACGAGATCTTCTTCCTCATCATCTTGGAGAGCACTACCGGTACTATTATTAGTATTTGTGCTACCAGCGGTATGGCTCATATTATTGGACCTCTTTCCACTTCTCTAGCGCTCCTACGAGAACGACCCAGCTACCGATATATACCGTAGCTGTGGCAGCTGTTGTGGCTGAGCGCACATGGAGTGGTCGTTCACTTCCACTGGTGTGTTGCATTCGCGTTTGAACTTCAATATATCGACCTTTGCCATACGGTTCCGTGGGCACCATTGAGCGAAGAACGATCGACCGACGACCTATGACATAGCTGCAGCCGGCTGCATGGATCGACGTTTCGATCGGTGTTTTTTGTTGCAGTCGCGACTTCGCACGATCCGAAATGCTGGATCACGCATGGACCGAATTGAGTCGAGTCGATTGAGTTTGCAGCCTTCGAAGCTTCTGTCCCGCACCGAAATCAAAGCTGCTTTATCGAAGGCCTGCAGGCCAGGAAAGCCATCATTGCAAGACCCTTCTCTGGCAATGTGGCAAGGAGCAACCTGGCAAGGAGCAAGGAGCATCGAATCAGTGACAGTTGAGTAGCCAAAGCCTTTTCTGAAAAGAGCGACAATTCTTTGTCGTTCCTGATGTGACTGCAAGGAGGACGGAGGAGGAGCGGCGACAAGGCAGCGCCTGTTTGATCTACCGGTATGGTTGCTCTTTACTGTTACATCTACTGTTTCAATGCAAAGACCTGTTTGATTTGATATGATTTGATATGATTGATTGATCTGTTCCTATTGTTAGATTCTCTCTATTGTATATGTAATGCGTCAAGTGTAGCAATTGGAAGGCCATGAGCAACGTAGCATATGCGTTGCTTCGACCCCTTAGTCATTCAGTCATTACTGAATGCGTACAATGTATGTTTGTTATGCAGATGCAGCTAGTAGTACAGTGGTACAAGAAGCGTCTTCCCTTGGATGCTTGCTTTAGAAGAGATCTTCGTCCTCATCGTCGAGCAGGTCCAGGGCAGTGCCAATGATTGCCGATACTCGTTCCATGGTAAGAGGAGCATGTGGCGCTCTTGGAGCACCGGCATGCATGTGGTACAGAGGAGACGAGGCCGTGGCTTGGTCCTGGAGGAGCTGTGAAAGCGTGGTGCAGCTCATCTCCGTCTTGTAGAAGGTTCCATTGTCTTGGGGCAGAGCAGTGGTGGTAGTAAGAGGGTTGGCATGATTGGAAGAAGAAGGGGTAGCGTTGGTGCTGGTGCAGGATGGAAATGAGGCGATCATGGTTGGTTTGTAAGAGTTCTTTTGGTTCTGATAAGCTTAGCTAGAGATTGTTGCTGAGATTTGATTTTATGAGCTAACCAAAAGAGGAGGAGGAAAAGAAAAGAAAAGAAAACAACACTGACAAAATCGGACACAAAGAAAGGGACACTCCGAAGAAAACCCTCCATCACTTTGTGTCCCTTGGCTTCTGGCCCCTTCGGATTTCGCACAAAAATACAAGCTGCTGTGCGCCACGTTTCCGTGGGAGGGGCTATTGTAGGTGGACACTTGTTAGACTGGTTCAGTGCTCCAGATCGAGGCTTCCGCACTCAGGCCTCGCACGACAGTCTGACCAAAGAAGCTCTTTTTCCATCCAAGTGACGAACAACAGACTGACGGACATCTCTGCAATCAAGGTAGATGCGGTAAAACAAAATTTTGACAGAAATAATGAAAGTAATTCACATCCGTAACCCTATTGTTACCTAGACTACCATTCTCATGCAGTGATGCTTCCGTCCGTTGTAAGAAGGCATGGAAGGACAGTCTGACCAAAGAACGATGGAACCACAGGGTGACCAAAGAACGGTGGAACCATGGCCACAGGCCGACCAAAAAGCTTTTGATGCTCTGTCACCTTGACACCTTTGCATTCTGAATGAAGAACAGTGGCCTTATTTTTCTAAGTTCGACTGGACTTATCACAGCTCTATTCACTTCTCTGGCTTCTGGTTTGCAAATTTTTTCATTGGCTGGCAGTCGGCCTTCGCGTTTGGCACAAACAGCAACGAATTCTGTGGATACCAAAGAATGATCTTTGCGACTGCCTTGTAAAAATAACTCCGAATGACTGAATTTTCCCTCAATCACTTGAATCGAATCCTGGAATTGCGCAATGAAAATTGTGATTGGTGCTGAGGAAGATACGGAAGGTGGGGACAATCTCAGCTGTTGTTGTGAGTTGGTTTTGTTTTGGGCACTGCCCGAAAACGATCATTGTTTTTAAAGCTTGAAAGGACATAATGGACTAACCTCTGAAGAACACTGGAAGCTTTGAGACAGCATCCATGTCACACTGGGTAGGTGACCTGGTCTCGAAGGTGGTCTAGCGACGGTACAAATACCGGTAGCAGTACCGTACCGTAGCAGTACAAGACATTAATTGGGGCAAGGGCTGGGGCTGAGGGTGTCAAATAATTTCAATCACACACCTGAAAGATGCTCGGTGCTCTAGCTAGCCTGCCATTGCCATCGACCATCCTTTTCTCAGTACAAGTACAGTACAGCGTACCGAAAAAGGCTGATGGTGGTGTTGATAAAGAGGTTGCTATAGTGTTGTGTGTTACTACTTGGTTGTTGTGGTTGATTTTAGTAATCTGGTAACTGGATAGTCATAAATCGCTACCACAGGTCATTTTCGGTCCCCTCAAGCTAGAGGGGGATCTATCTCACGCTAGATTGCACTTGACATGGGAAAACAGACTTCGGAAGTCTGAAACAGGATGTACCCTTGGGGCAAGGCCCCTTGGAGGCTCAGACCTGCCGTTCACCAAACGGCCCACCCTATGGTCATGTTGCCTTTTTGCAGATTGTTAGTATAGGACTTTCGAAACCAGTCGCTGCCTCACAGGCCCGTTCTGGATCTTCGTCAACATATCGGCCAAATTGCTCTCTGTGTTCTCATAAGTGATGTTTGCCATTCCTGCAGCGACTCTTTCACGGACATAGTGGTATGCGACGAGTTCTCTTTTTCTTCAAACGTAGACTCCGGGATGCTCGGGTCTTGATCACGGACATGTTGTCCGCCTTGACGTGAGCCGGGCCATCAAGGGGAACTCCCATCATCCTGAGCTTGTACCGCAAGCCCTCCACGATCTCGATTCCAACCTTCATCGCCGCGAACTCAGATCCAAAGGAGGAAGTTTCAATGGAGCCCTGCTTCTTGCTGTACCAAATAAATGGAGAACATGTTAGCAAAACACAGACACCAGTACGCGAACGACGTGTTCACCTGTCCCCAGCATTGTCAGAATCCACAAAACATGTGATTTTGGATTTGGTTGCGAAGAGGCTTTCGGTATGTCTGGAGGCAAAAGCTCTTTCGCATCGGCATAGAAATCAGCTCCAGTCAGGTCGCTCTGTTCCACATGATTCACATAGAAGGATCAAAAACAAGGTGAGAACGACTGTTGCTGCTTGAGTATATGCCAAGTATGAAACACAGCGTCCAGGTGCCCAACTCGTGGGGCTCACAGTACGAAGC